AAAATGGAAACTACAGGGATTTGGGTTAAGGGTTCCAAGATCCTGTTTGGGTTTAAGGGGTTTAGGGGTTTAGGGTTTGGGGTTTAGGGTTTAGGGTTTAGGGTTTTAGGATTTTAGGGTTTTGGATTTGAGGCTTCAGGGTTTAAAGTTTAGGGTTTAAGGTCTAGGATTTTAGAGTTTGGGGTCTTAGGGTTCAGGGTTTTGGGTTTTTAGGCTTAAGGTTTAGGTTCTAGGGTTCAAGGTTAAGGGTTTCGGGTTTAAGGTTAAGGCAAGGGAAAGGGTTTAAGGTTAAGGTAAGGTTCTGGGTTTAACGTTTAGGGATTAAGGGTTAGGGTTTCAGGTTTAGGGTTTTGGGTAGGTCCTTTGTTGGGGTTCATCTGGGCAAGAGCTTAGATTTGTCCACGACGGATCTATTGGGGATGCAGTTTGGAAAGGAAGGGTGGTGTTCACCCGATGGCCTCCACGTAGGACCGCATGATTCTCCTGTCTTTGATTTATCCTATCTTTGCTACATGGTCCTGTGGTGAATGGACGACATCTTGCACCACCTCGTCGGTATGTTCCACCTCCAATAAATAGGAATGAATGCACCCAAGTGTAGCCGTAGCAGCAGCATTAGCAGAATAACCCTGGCAACGTATGAAATCATCATCACGATAGCCAGTACCTGGGTGTCATAATGGCGCTTTCCCAAAATCGTTGTCCTCCTTTTCATCAAAATCATGCCTCCAACACCCTAAACACTAAGACAACTTGCTGTGGGTTACTAGGGAATAAGGGAATATGTCATATAGGGATCATATAGGGACTATATTCGCACGAACAATCAACAAGAAAAAGCTACCCCCAAAAAACACATCAGAAGAGGAACGCCCTGAGCAGGAGTGGGTTCTTTGCGATAGAGTTGAGGCCTTTGCGGTGCCATGGCAGCAGCGAATGCCGCTCTGGGGCTATTCCATATGTGTTGGTGGACTTTTTTCCGTGTGTATGTGTATATATATATATACATATGTACATGCATGTGTGTGTATACTTCTACCCATACATGCATCTATGCTTCTAGAAAAATCTCTCTCTCTCTCTCTCTCTCTCTCTCTATATATGTATGTATGTATGTACTTACAGATAGATAATAGATAAGCATCTGCTGTTTGGAGTTTGGGGCTTAGGGTCTGGGGCTCAAGGCAGGACAAGCCCCTGCTCACCTGTACGTGAAGCTTCGTGGGCATATATATATATATACAGATATAGATATAGATATAAGCGAGTTGCAATTCGGAAGCCCTAAACCCTAAACGACCTCAGATTATACCTCAGACTTCAGTCTCAGGCAGGGAGGTAGGAAGGTAAACTAAGGATCATGTAGGATTTTGTCCTGGAGGTTCTTTAACAAACACGGGGATTCCTCTCTGGATTCCCTAGAATCCTTAACCCCTAAACCTTCAAAAGCCCGAAACCCCAAATCGGTTTAGGGAGATGTCTGGGCTCGTTTAGGGTTTCTCAAGGTATGCGTCTGTTTCTGTGGCCTGGGTGGTAGGGATGAGTTGGGCAGCGTGCAGGGCCACGCGGTTCACTTCACTTACTGGAGGTTAGTAGGGAATAAGGGAATGCTTTGTATAGCGATTATATAGGGACCATATTCCCTGACTGCCTCCTAACCCCCCTGAACCACCCTAAGCCCTATACGGCTTTCCCTTGTTCCCTACAAAACCCCAGTAAGTTCTTGCTTGTCAATCCGTGAAACTAGCTTCTGTCCCCTCGATAGTTCCTTAGTAGGCAAGGTTCTAACCGCCTCCGCATGTAGGCCCTATAACAATCCCGAAAAAAAAAACCCTTATATAATCCCTTATATAATCCCTTAACCCTAAACCCTATATAACTCCTCTTTAGGGAGTCTAGACTATAGCTCAAATGTGCATCGAGGCAGAGATGGCAGAAAACTTGCAACGACACATCCAAAACCGGAAGGCGTGCCTGCTGCTGTGAAATCAGAGGGTGTTTAAGGTTTTAGAGTGTTAGGGTTTTAAGGTTTTAGGGTTTAGGGTTTTGGGTTCAGGAAGGTGTGGTAAAGGAAGATGGGAGGGTTTTAGGGTTTAGGGTTTAGGTGGGGTTTATGAAAGGACGCCCGACATAATGGCGTCTACAGAAAGGATCCTTTAGCCCACCTACCTTCACCCCACCTTTGAGCCTGCTGCTGTGAAAACAGGAATCTGAAGAGTTCCTCGACTAGTTAGCATTGTTGTAAACTAAGGACGTGTGCCTTTGATTGCCATTGCTTGTCCTTGACAGGACAGTTCGGTGGAGGATGCGAAAGAATGCTGCGTTCAGGCCACCTTCTTCGGAGCCGCCCACATGGGGGTTTCCAGAGATTTGGGGTCCCTTGATCTGGGCCCTGAGGGTACCAACGAGGATTATGTATAGTCTTTCGGGGTAGACAAGGGCGCCCAATTTCTGGAAATGCCTATGGCCTATGCAACCATCCTTAAATAGTCCCTCGGAACATGCAGGAGGCATCCGTGTAGCATTCTTTTCTGAGTTTAGGATTTCTAGGGTTCAGGGCTTACTAGCTGCACCATCAACGAGATGGGTTAAAGTCGCCCTACGCAGTCCGCGAATTTCATCTCCTAGGTGGTGGTTTCCAACCCTAGACCCTAAACTCCCGCATTCCAATGTACTGATCCTGTATGAGTTCCCCCACGCCTGACATCATCTCTCCCGACCGCCCCTCCAAGTACTTCCGCAGGGCCCAGAGAAAGTCAGCATCAACTCGGACGTTGACATGAAGCAGGTGCAGTTCTTCAGAATATATGGCCCTAAGCTCTGAACCCCGAACCGCCAAAACCAGGGACTCTTCATGTACGTCCCAGTGTATAGAAGCTTTCAGAAAAAGACGTTCTAAACGAAACTCCCAGATGCTCAGCATGCAGTAAATCTATCTTGTAGCTTGTGACGCAGTGTGTCAATCATGTTCGTCGTCTATATAGAGATGGATAGATAACTGGATATAGCTACATGTACATATATATATATACACATACATATAGCTATATTTCTGTATATGTCCCTTATATCTCAATAGGTTGATTTTGAGAGGTGGTGTCAGCATTGCTGAAGAGGCAACGATGAGATTTGCGGAGATGCAATTCGAAGCAGAGCAGCGCATGGCCCTTGCCTCTCTTTTCAAGATGTGAGCTAGAGTCTAACCTCCTTAAGGGGGGGGGGGTATCTAGGGGACTATATAGGGCAGTGTTATGGGGCTGATTAAGGGGGATACTAGGAGTTTAGAGCATAGCTCACGTGGAGATTTTTTGAATGCTGGGTGACTCGTTTTGGAGGTTCTTAGTCCTACGCTACAGGCTATCACTCCTAGACTACAAGCCAGTCATATTTTTTTGGTCCCAATATGTGAGACACCCTAGACAGATCCTCTTTGTGTCCATGATCAGTTTGGCCTGCTTACCCTAAACCCTAAACCAAAGGGAGCCCCTCAATTTTTTCCCCTGAATCTTGTTGGGGAGTCTTATAACCTTTACAGTCTTCAACATTTCCAAGTAGCCCGATATACGCTCACCAAAAAGCAAAATGAAAACCCTACTTATATGCCCAAATCCCCATAAACCGCAATATACTTTCAGCTTCCATTTCATTTTTCATGTTCTTTACCATTTGCTTCCCTAGCATTGAGGTAGCATTTGTCCAAATATCCCCACCCTAAACCTGACAATCTAAGCCCGAAACTTTAGCCCTGAACCGCAAAGCTTCACTTGAGCTAGAATCTAAGCTCCTTGAAGTGGGGCTATATAGGGGACTACTGTAGGGGTGCCTAAGGGGGGATACCCTAGACCCTAAAGCCTAAACCCTAGACCCTAAACCCTAAACCCTGAACCCCAAAACTGCTTGGAGTTCAGACAATGGCTCACTTGGCCCTAAACCCTAAACCCTTGGCTCATCAATGAGGACGCGGACGAAGATGACAACTCAGGGGATGAAGCCAGGGACTTGGGCTCAATGTAGGAATTGGGGCTAAGGAGTTTAGGCAATCATGGAAGTAGGGTTTCGGGCTTAGGGCTCAGGGTTTAGGGATTAGGGTTTAGGGTTTAGGGATTAGGGTTTAGGGATCAGGGTTTAGGGTTAGGGTGTAGGGTATGGGTGCTAGAGCTCAGAGTTCAGGGTTTCGGTTCCTTTGCAATGTCAGACGGGTCATAGACCCGTGGTTACGCAGGTAGGCATCTCTTCAATAGGACTTCTGCTGTGTGGTAATTCTTCAACATGATGGCCTCTTTTGATTCCTAGTATATTTCGGCCCCTAGGCTAGTCAAAAGGGACCTATGGGATATAGAGGATCCTCATCCTGGTATGTCGGGAACATATTTGGTTATAGGGATAAGAGTCATGGATGTCTGTTCTGTACTGCCTGGGGCCTGCTGAGAAATTATGGGAGGTTCTGAGTCTACATGATTTTAATTCAACCCTAAACCCTCAACCCTAAACTCTAAACCCTGAACCCCATCTTCATGGAATCGCTAGCATCAGCAGGGATCTCCGGCAATTTTCAGGGACTAAATTGAGAAACTCCCCACCCCTCAACCCTACACCTCAAAACCCTCAACCCTTAAACCCCTAAACCTTGGGTACTGCCCCCACTCATTAACAGTTGGATAATATTCAACATGTAAGTGTATATATATATATACGTATAACCCTGAATATGACCGCTTTTATAGACTGTTTATGGGTGGGAGCAGGACCCAACCTAAACCCATTTTGCGTTTAGGGTAGCATCCCTACAACCCCTTGAACGAGGTAGGCGGTTGCGAAATCAGTATTTTCAGGACCCTTCAGCCGAGACAAAGCTTCAAATGAAGCGATCCGATGCGAAGGGCACCAAGGACGGTACAAACTGGGACTGTAGGCGAATTACAGGGGTGTATAGGAGAATACAGCGACACACAAGGATGTGAAGGGATATTTAGTTATATGTGGATGTATAATATGAGGTTGAGGGTTTCCAGAAAACAGGTGTCCACTTTTAGGTTTCCATAATACGGGTCATCGTATTTTTGCGGTATAAAGGCGGGAGCAATTGTTTTTGGAAATATCCAAAGGGATGGTATGAGCTGTAGTAGCAAGGATGAATCAATCAGCAATTTGTTGAATATCATGCTGGAATTTTGTTTTCTGGAACACAGTTAAGGAACAGTAGTTGGATTTCAAGTAGGATCCCGATGAGGAACAAGAAATTCCTAGACTGCAGGAAGATAATCGCGCGGCCAAGAAGACTCGCGTCCTGACCTGAGCAAGACATCACGTGGACGCCTGTAAAATGTAGGGTTTAGGGTTTAGGGGTCTGCAATGTTATCCCCTTGTCACCAGTACATAAATGTAATAGACTAACCCCAAAATAATGTCCTCTGTATTCAGACCCCGACTAACTACTTGGTCTAGGCCGAGCAAGTATGGTGCGCGGGTCCGCCGGTCCTCTGATATTCAGCCATGTCTTTGTTTCTGTCTGGCCTAGTTTCTTTTTGAGAACGAGAGCGAGTCGCACTACCAAAGAGTGCAAATACATGCTGAGTCTACACACCCTGCATGGTACTGTTGATACTAGATTACTAGAAGCCCTGCGGGACCCTCGTATACTAGAATATCCCAACACCTAGCCCCCCCAAAACCCTGAACACTAAATCCCTCAACCCCTAAAACCTAAACCTTGAATCCTGAACCCTGAACCCCTAAATCCCTCCATTTTTTCCATTACCCCTATATACCCCTATAGAACCCCTATATTCTACCCTATTTAACCCCTGACTAGTGCGGCTTGGGCACAGCAGGCCGAGCGAAAGGCTGCTTGGCGAGCTGCGCAGAAAGCTTTGGAAGCCGAGGGCTAAGTTGTTTAGGGTATTGGGTTTAGGGTTTAGAGTGTTGGGTTTAGGGTTTGGGTTTAGGGTTTTGGGTTTAGGGTTTTAGGTTTAGGGTTGAAGATTTAGGGTAGGAGTCTTACCCCCAATCCTGCAGAAACAAATTAGAAACGAACATAGAACATGGAGTGAAGCCTGGATTAGGTAGCGGTACTTTTTGCTTATGGACTCAGGATTTCGGGGCTAGCGAATATGGTTGTGGATGAAGGGTTTGGGATGTAGGGTTTGGGGATTCGGATTTTCGGGTTTAGGATTTTCTGTTTAGGGTTTAGGATTTGGGATCTTGGCTTTAGTATTTAGTGTTTAGGACTTAGGGTCTAGGATCTACGTTTAGGGCTTAGGAAGGGGTTTGATGGCGCAAGCTGGAAATTCACCGCTTGGTGAAAGTCCGGGTTCAGCGGCACTCGTATGCTGCCAGGGCGTCTAGGGTTACCTGCATTGTTTCACGGGTTTCCTTACACACCCCTCTACACTACCCCCCGAGGTTCCCCTTCAGTTAGCCTTAGGTAGCGGAACCCATGGTTGTTTTTTGCTGAAGTAGGAGTAGTGATGGTTACCACGTTAACAGTAGCTACTATACAAGAAAGCGTGACCATTTTCAACGAGAACAGCGGCAACTAAGACAATGGCAGCTACTATCAGAAAGCAATGGGCAATTGAAAGTCTATTTGGCCCATACCGTGACCTCCCCCATAAGCTTTTAAACCCTACACCCCAAACCTCAACCCTAAACCCTAGACCCCAAACCCTAAACCTAAAACCCTAGACCCCAAACCCTAAACTTTAAACCCTAGACCCCAAACCCTAAACGTTGTCGCGAGAGCCCCCTATATTTGGACTTCTGAGCACTCCGAGACCCTAAGCCCTAAACCTAGGGCTCGAGGGTTCTAGGGTTTTGGGGTTTAGGGTTTAGGGGTTTAGGATTTAGATGTTTAGGGTTTAGGGGTCTAAACCTAGGGGTTTAGGGGTTTAGGGTTCAGGGGTTTAGGGGTTTAGGAACATTCCAGGAGCAACCCAAACAGAGGTTCAAAGTCCATTCACATACAGTTGTACTCAGAGAAGTAGAGGCAGATTCAGGGTTACATGGGTCTAGGGTTTTGGGTCTGGTTAGCCTAGGGTGTCCTTGGAGGTTCAGTGCAGTTATCACCAACAAAGGAGAATCAAATGGAATCTCGAAAGGAAAAGGCCATGGCAACGTTTGGTTGCACATATGTAGAGATTAACGGCTCATAGATCATGACGCAAGTTCAACTGTATTCCTAACCTAGTAGTAACCATAGTCGGGGACTCCGGCGGCTTATAAGTGGGTTATGGGTAACATTAGAATTTGGTTATAGGTACTAAGCTTTTAATCTTTACGTTATATGTATAAAACACACTTCGGTGCCTGCATATATATATATATATAGAGATACATCTATATACCCCAGTTTTCCATTTCACTTTCCGTCTAATTTTCAATTATTAAGTTAGAAGCGGCTTGGGCCTCCAAGTAGGAGCACTCCAAGGGCGCCTGAAAAACGTTTCAAGAAGAGTTGTGCTTAGGGTTTAGGGTTGAGTGCTTAAGCTCTAATATTAAGTGGGTTATAGTCCGCCATAGTCATAGTCACAAACATGCCTACCTAAGGTTTCGACATGTATCTGCCTAGCCTGGCACATAGCCCCCAAACCCTAACCCTAAACCCTGAACCTTAAACCCTAAATCCTAAACCCTGCACCCTCGATCCTAAACCCAAAACCCAACGACATAGTTCCCGAAGAGCCGGTGCTAAGGGGGAGGCAACGAAAGACAGCAAGGCAAGCCTGCTGGTTGGGACGGTTTATGTGGGTAATTGTGAAAATCAGGGCTATATGGGGAATATATAGGGGATTATATAGGGGACTACTACAGGGGTTATTAATGGGGATACTAGGAGTTTAGACAGTAGCTCATATAGAGACATATTGGATTCTGTAGGGTTATAGAGGGATAATGGAACATGGAAACTGTCATGTACTATTTAGGGTGAGCTATGGTTTATATTTGCATTGCCAAGAGACGATTAAGGGTCCCTTTGATCGTCTAGTATGGTCCGATATATATATATATTCCCTGTTACGTACCTATGTCCATTCATTGTATGAGACATATTGACTGTAGCTCATCTGGGGATGCAAGTTTGGACTTGCTTTGGGCTTAGGGTTCAGGGTGCAGGAACCCTCGAAACTGGGGGTTTGTAGACCCCCGTGTCCGCACATATCAGCTTCAACACGTCATGAGATCCTTGTTCACCCAACCCAAATCCCCAGGCCTTTGACCCCTGAACCTCAAACCCTAAACCCTAAACCCTAAACCTCAAACCCTAAACCCTAAACCCAGAACCTGAGACATACCCAGGAGGAAGAGGTGGAAGAGAGTCTCCATGGCAAGGCGTGCGCTGGCCCAGTAAAGAACAGCTGTTTAGGGTTTAAGGTTATCAGGGCCTAAACCCTAAACCCTAAACCTTAAACCGCGTGGCTGTTTAGGTTTAGGGTTTAGGGTTTAGGGTTTCAATATTAAAACCCCTCATCACCCCTAATCTCGAAGATTCCCATTCGGGTATGCTATTCAACAGGTGGGGCAACTTCATATCAGAGGGGATAGGGGATTTTATAGTACGAGGGGGGATTCGTGATGTTGTGGATCTGATGGGTTCATATCAGCAGGATTTGTACCATCCTTGGTAAGAGGAAGGTTCAATGTACCTGCTGATGATGGTGATGATGACTGATGATGACCACTTCGTGAGGATGCTGACGATAATGATGATGATCGTACCTAACAGGGTTCAGGGTTTAGGGGCATTGGTGGCGGTGGCGGTGGCGGTGGCGGCGGCGGCGGTGGTGGTTGCGGTGGTGGCAGTGGTGGCAGTGGTGGCCGTGGCGACGGCGGCAGAGGTGGTGGTCGCGCAAGTAGTAGCAATGAGAAGCACAACAGCAGCACCAAACAATAATGCAGAAACGATTTGTAGATCCAACGCTAGTGGGAAGGATGAGGTTTTCTTGCTCTTCAAGCCCTACAGCTAAGCCCTCATGAGGTCCCCTTCTTTACCCCCCAGCTCCTATTATCCTTGGTGTAGGGACCCCGAAATGGGCCCCCAATGTTTGGAAACCCCGATATAATATTAAGCTATATTGGGAGAATGGAAAAGAAAATGGAAACTACTATAACGGAAAATCAAGCGGAAAAGAACATGGAAAATGAAATGGAAACTAAGGAAAATATATACATATATATGAAGCAAGATCACTGATCCCTCGATCTGCCAGGCTGCAGCGCCCAAACCCCAGGAGGGTTTAGGATTTAGGGGGAGCTGAAACTCTTGATCCTCAAGGCCTGCAAATTGCGAGCACTACCCTGGGTCCTGTTTGAATGCTTTGTGCAACTCTAAGGAAGTGTGAGGTGATACTTCGCATAACTGTCCCGATAAGAAATCACCCTGAACCCTAACCCCTAAACCATACTGTAAGGTCCGTTAAATCCTAAACCTGGTACCCTAAAACCTGAGGCGTGGTAAAGCACGGCGAGCCCGCAAAGACTAAGGTGGTTGCCCCAAGAGTCAGGTTGCGTCTTGGGGGGATAAGAGGTCACGATTTTGGGGCTTGGGGCCTCAGGGTTTAGGATTCTAGTGTTCAAGTTTCAGGATTTCAGTGTTTGGGGATTTTGGGGCTTAAGATTTCAGGGTTTTGGCTTTTGGGGTTTAGGGCTTTAAGATTTCAGAGGGTTTAGGCTTTTAGAGTTCAGGGTTTCAAGGTTCGTAGTTTGGGGTTAGATGCTGTGCCTGAGCCACTGAGCGGTGGCTTAGTGGAGGCTGGGTGCGCCAGGGAGTTTGGAAAGGGAGCAAGGGGTTGGTGTAAGAAGCTTTCCTTCCTGTCCAGCTGGAGATGAGTCGTGGCTTCAGCAAGTTCCGTGTTTAGGGTTGGGGCTTCTCCAACTTAGTCACTGATGGTTGGAGATGATTCCAGAAGTTACTCTATGTTTTCAGTCCTTGAGACAGACACAGCTCTAGGGTGTTTACACTTCTCCCTGTCCTCCACACGGCAACCCCACATATCAGAGGCCACTGAGGTTACAACTCCGCAGTTTAGCGAATTAGGGCTGGTGCTGCCCTATCACTATATATTACATTACGCATGTGTGGCGTCCTCTATGGTTTCCCGCGTATCACCCTGTATGGCTCTTCATGATCAAGGGCAGTCCAAGTACCTCTGAGGTCTTGTCAGCAGCGGACGGTGCTCTCTGAGAGCACCCCATCTTCCCGATTTTAAAAATTGTTTTATGCGGGGTTACCTGCGTTTCTGTGTTGACTCGGATCCTTAAGAGGCGCGCCAGGTTCAATGCTCTCACACGGCAGAATTTTTTTTATTTTATCTGAGTCAACATCAATTTGTTCATTGTGCAGGGTGCTCTGGGCAAGAATTCTGCACCAGATAAAGTCATGTTCCTGAAAGGCTTCCGCTGAAGTCTAGAGGAGCCCTGCAACGTGGATAGAACTGTGCATGCGAAGTGCTGGACTTGGGACTATGCTACGAAGTCTGCCCGCATGACATGTGGTGGCAGCCTCAGCTGGCCTCTCTCATTTGCAGCTTTCAGTCAGCGAGACTTGTGCAATTGCTGATGCCAGTAGACGCACTATAGGTACCTTACTATGCAAAGAAGCCCAGAAGATGTGCCTTGTGAGGTGGTCCACCTCCCACAAACTTACTGGTGGGAAAGCTCTGCTATTCGGATCCATTCCCGTAACGACTGGCATGCTGAACGACTTAACTCACTTAATTAGCGCATAAGGGAGTATGAGGGAGTGGATCCCTATGAGAACCCCTATATGAGGGTTTCCCAAATTAGGGGCATTTTCGGGGATGGAGGGTAGAATTAATATTGGGGTCTAATATTGGCGTCACCTATTTATGGAAACCACCTTAAACCCCTAAACCCTAAAGGCCTAGTCCCCTTCAGCAGCCTACATATTCACTTATCATCACTTATCCACTCCCGACTGAGTACCCAGTAAGACCAGGTCTATACCGAGGTGCTGGGAGCCGAGCACCCAGCTGGCCGTTTAAGGGTTTAGGGTTTAGGATTTAGGGTTTAGGGTTTAGGGTTTGGGGTTTAAGGGTTCAGGGTCTAGGGTTCAGGGTTTAGGGTCTAGGGTTTAAGTTCTAAGGGTTTACGGGTCAAGGGTTTAGGGTTGTTTGCATGACGAGAATGGAAAACGGCATGGAACTTGGGTCTTGTTGAGGGGTTGATGGGGATTTTGGTTACCCCGACCCTAAGGTTCAGAGGTCTATAAGTATTAAGGACTGTGTGCAGGTCCTGGTGTTTGGGTTGGGGTTACAGAGAATACCCTGACTACATTTGCAGCTAGGAAGGAAGACGCTCAATTTACAACATACTATAGCCAGGCTATGATCCATAGCTTGTGATAGTTAGTTACTGCTGTAGACTCTGTAGACTCTATAGCATCTATGGCCGCATGTAGCTCGTGTGTCGGGAATGCACAGCTGAACCTGCAGACTGCACTTCCGTGTGTTTGGGGTGTGGTATTTACTGCTAGATTCATCGTTTGTGACTATATCAGTAGTAGAAGGAAGTGTGGAGGGAGGATACAGTATCTTGCACCACCCAATGTACCATGCACCCTGGTTTTTTTTGGATTGTAGAGTTCCCAAGGTAGTGAAAGATTTCTTGCATCCATTGAAGGAAAAGATAAGCGACTTCGTAGTTTCCTCGCTCAACCCTCATAGGGCCCCATAGTCCCCCTTAAGTAGATAGAACCTGGGGGAAAAGGGGATCTTATTAGAATATACCCAAAGCCATATTGTATCTACTTTAGGGGGACTATAAACCCCCTACACTTTACATTCTAAACTCTAAGCGTATGTCTCCTCGTAGAGGATGTCGGCCTCACCGGATTCCGAACGGAATCGCGATGTTACCCCAGTGATGGAGAATCAAATTGGAAAGAAGATGGGCAATGAAATGGAAACAGGTATGGTATGACGTATTTCTCAACATTGCCCCTGTCAACTCATATTCAAAGCTCACTATTCAGGACCCCCATAACCCGCTAACAGTCCATTTGTACCCGGCGTGTCCTGCAGGTTACCCCTTTTCCAGCAACTCCCACATGCCTAGGTCAAAAAGGCCTTGCAGGTCCTGCGCTCAGACATGTTCTGCATGACCTTATCCCTAAACCCCTAAGCCCTGAACCCTAAATCACAAGGATTCCGCAATCACCTTCCAGGTTTCGTGAAGGTTTTTCAGAATCAATAGTAGGTATGGAATGTGAAATCCTTCGCCATCGCATTTCCGCTTATGAGCAGGAATGCAAGAATTTACATATTCCACGTAGGTATTCCAAGGGAAACAAGCTGTCCCACCTCCAGCATGAGGGCCTCAGAACATGACTGTCATTGGCCCTTTCTCCTCGCAAGGTCATGCTGGTACTTGAAAATTGTATGTCGTAAGAGGGTGGGTGTTTTTAGCACCTCCAAATCAGGCTTTGGCATAGTTGTCCTGATTAGTTAAGTTACGGCTGCCTGGCCCGCTGCTTCTTTCTCCCTGCTGGCATGGTTGCGGATGAGGTGATTCAAGTAAGCCCATCCACTAAACTTGGGACCGTACTATGGATATATATGTATATATGTACATATATGATGATTATATGGTCTTCACTACAAGGGTTGGGGTAGCTCAAGTCAACTTATTAGCTATAGTAGGTTTTATGCAGATAAACCCCTGAACCTCAAACCCTAAACCCTATAACCCTAAACCCTAAAGTCTGTCAGGTCCTCCAATAAGCTTCCGCTAGGCATAATGTCCCAGCCCGAAACCTCTGCAATGGACTTCCTGTCAGCCTAAACCGCAGCCTCAGTAAGCTCTGCTGTAGACGCATTTTAATTAAAACCCTTTAAAGTCTGTTGTAAACGTTCGGAGACCCTCTTATCCTTGTGAGCCCTGTTTCGTCTTAAATGACTTACACTAAGAGGGAACCATAAGGGGTAGTATGGGCGGATCCCTAGACCCCAAACCCTAAACCGCACACCTTAAATCCTAAACCCTAATCTCTAAACCCTAAACCCAAAACTCTAAACCCCAAATCGTAAATCCTAAACCCTAAACCCCACACCCTAAGCCCTAAATCCTAAAGCCTATCCCCAAACCCTAAATCCTAAACCCTAAAGTAGGGGAATCCATAACATCTCCCGTCGACCAAGGCCGGACTCCAGGTTACCTGTGCACGTGCAAGGACTGCAGGAGGCCCAGGATGCTGATTTGGGTTTCAGGGATTTGGGGGATCAGGGTTTTAGGGTTTACCACTATGGGCTATTAGACCCTAAAATTCCCTATTAGGACCCTATTAGGGGTAGATTAAGGTACCCTTAAGGTCTAATAGCCCATAGTGGTAGGGTTTTGGGGGATTAGGGTTTAGGGGGTTTGGGGTTTGGGGGATTAGGGTTGTGGGGGATTAGGGTTTAGGGTTTGGGGGTTTAGGGTTTGGGGATCAGGGTTTGGGTTTGGGGGATTAGGGTTTTGGGGTTTAGGGTTTTGGGGTTTAGGGTTTTGGGGTTTAGGGTTTTGGGGTTTAGGGTTTAGGATTTAGGAGGTTTAGGGTTTAGGGCTTGCTGTGATATAGCGCTGAAGGAGAGATGGTCATGCGAAAGAGTCGCTTGAGCGTGCCGTGCTGTGCGTCATACTGCCGTGGTCTGACCGCGGCTGGCCATCTAACGCGTTTACCTACCCCAACCCGTCTCTGGCAGCCAAACCACCTACTCCTATTAGGGGAGGACCTAGACTCAGTTAGGTCCATCTTGGTCAACAACACAAATATTTTTTACAGCCGGCGCCGTCTTGCTTCTACAATTCGATATTTTTGCCAGAAAATAAAATCTTGGGATGCTGGTGGTGAGGAGGCCTCCTGAATGCCACTAGGGGCAGGCTTCTCTTAAATTGGGAAAGCCCAGTTGAAGGGAGGTTCCCTCTGGTCCCTTTAAGGTTTAGGGCTTAGGATTTAGGGTTTAGGGTTGAGGGTTTAGGGTTCCTGAAAGCCTTGTTGCAAGGTTTGGCTTCTGGGTAAAGCTGCTGATGGGAAGCCTTGAGGCCCCTAAAAGCTCCTAATGGCAGCTGGAAGAGCTGTCGAGGCGGCATAGCTGCCGCCCACCATCGCAGGTGGGCGGCCTAAGCCATGAATGTAGGGTTTAGTGTTTAGGGTTTCTAGGGTTTAGCGTTTCGGGTTTGCTGTTACGGATCCTGTAAAGTAGATAGAGGAGGGGCCGGATCCTGGAAACTGGAGACCCCTAAGAGGACCACACTTTAAGCAAGGATATGACCCCACTCAGCAACAGTTGGATAAACATTTATGCTAAACATATAGTTATACGTAGCCCTTCACATGCTGTTACTGGGTGGGGGCAGTGCCCAACCTAGTTTTGAGTGGGGCTCTTCTCAGCTCTTCTCAGCTGCAGCGAATGCTGCACTTGCCGTGGCTTGCGTTGATGGTTGTGTTGCTGATGATGGTGGTTTACCCTAAACCCCAAACCCT